TCTTTCTCTCTATATATATATATATATCACATATCTATGTATATTTCTATCACGAAACGTTCCAAGTACAGTTTTTCCGTTTATGATTCCTCGCTATTTTTATTATCCGTCGCGCGAGATTAAATACAAACTTTTTCCTATTTTTAATCGACTTCTCACGGTGCGGCTTCATGCAAATCGATGCTGCGTCGCAAAGACGCATAAATATTATCGATTCCAAGGCGAAATGGTAATCGTGACAGACATAACGTTATGTCGCGAGACTAAACTCGAAGTGGAGGAACGTAATAGTAGTAGTTGGTATTAGGTATAAAAGGTATAAAAGACCGGAAGGGTCTATTCTCTTTGAATATTTACATTGTCTCAAAGAAGATACCCGAATGTCTCATTAGAGAGAGAAAGAGAGAGAGCATTCAATTCATATTTCCTATTATGAAACGGATAATCGTTGCAAACCTATTCACGGAAAAACGAGTTTGGATACTTATGTGCGTAATAAATACTTGCGTATACCTTTACATGATGTAAGCGTACAGTAATATAGACCAACTTGTGTCAAGAGTCATCACTCTATGAACTGCTTGGCGCTTGCATAATGGCGATGCATTATTGATGAGGATTGACACAGTCGGTGTAAATTGACACAGATGTAACAGATAACATTTCTCGGGAGAATATTTTCCGTTTCTCCGGTTGTTCGTAACACGTAGACGCACTTTTTTTTTCTTGTAAGCACCTATGAGGCTAAATTGAAAATGTTTTGTTCCTCTGTTTTTATCTCTAAGCGTTATCTTATTTCGTAAAAAAAAAAAAATGTGATGTATTGATAGGGTAATAAACTTTTTGAGTTTTATCGGGTGAAATAAAGTTAATAATAATGATTTTATCGGGATAAAAACAATTTGGCAATCGAAAGAAGACACGATATATATCGCAATCAGATCATCCATATCCAGATAATAAAAATTGATTGATTTATCAAGATGCGACATAAGGATATATAAAAGCTAAAAATACAAATTGTGTCAAAACATGCAGTATATAAAAATAATACTTAAATTCAATAGAAAATAAAAATTTGTTAAGAAATAGATTATTCAAT